ATAGAAATAGCATAGAGATATGGAAGATCCCGGACCTGCGCACGTTTCGCCGTGCTCTCAAAACTTTTCTATTTCAGCAAGCTGGCCTGGCCTAACTCCCCTCTTTTAAATTTTTTAAATTTTTTTAATTTGTGACTTTATAAATTGGGTGTTTTAATCTGTGTTTCGGCCAAAATATTTAATAATTTTAAGGGATTTTTAATATTTGTATTATCTGTATTTTATCTTGGCTGTTCACCGCCCTGAGTCCTTCGGGAGTAGGGCGGTATAGAAATTTGATTAAATAAATAAATAAATATATATATACTGCTTCAAAGTGTTTTACAACTCTCTCTAAGCGATTTACTGAGCCATCATCTTGCCCCCAGCAATTTGGGTCCTGATTTTACCCACCTCCGAAGGATGGAAGGCTGAGCCAACCTTGAACCGGTCAGAATCAAACTGCTGAACTGCTAGTAGCCAGCAGTCAGCAGAAGTAGCCTGTAGTACTGTATTCTAACCACTGCGCCACCACGGCTCATGATAGATAGATAGATAGATAGATAGATAGATAGATAGATAGATAGATAGTTAGATAGATAGATAGATAGATAGAAATAGCATAGAGATATGGAAGATCCCGGACCTGCGCACGTTTCGCCGTGCTCTCAAAACTTTTCTATTTCAGCAAGCTGGCCTGGCCTAACTCCCCTCTTTAAATTTTTTAAATTTTTTTAATTTGTGACTTTATAAATTGGGTGTTTTAATCTGTGTTTCGGCCAAAATATTTAATAATTTTAAGGGATTTTTAATATTTGTATTATCTGTATTTTATCTTGGCTGTTCACCGCCCTGAGTCCTTCGGGAGTAGGGCGGTATAGAAATTTGATTAAATAAATAAATAAATATATATATACTGCTTCAAAGTGTTTTACAACTCTCTCTAAGCGATTTACTGAGCCATCATCTTGCCCCCAGCAATTTGGGTCCTGATTTTACCCACCTCCGAAGGATGGAAGGCTGAGCCAACCTTGAACCGGTCAGAATCAAACTGCTGAACTGCTAGTAGCCAGCAGTCAGCAGAAGTAGCCTGTAGTACTGTATTCTAACCACTGCGCCACCACGGCTCATGTAGATAGATAGATAGATAGATAGATAGATAGATAGATAGATAGATAGACAGACAGACAGACAGACAGACAGACAGATAGATAGAAAGAATAGGTAGAAGAGGAAGGATGGATGGATAGATAGATAAATAGATAGAACAGATAGAGGGGGAAGGATGGATGGATGGATGGATGGATGGACGGACAGGTAATTGATAGATGATAGATAGATATACACATACATATAAACACAAACACATATAATAACTATAATAACACTTTTATAATAATAGTGTTTTGTGCACCTCTGGCACTTAGTCATGACCATGGAAACGTCTTTGGACAGCACTGGCTCTTCGACTTTGAAACGGAGATGAGCACCGCCCCTTAGGGTCGGGAACGACTAGCACATATGTGCGAGGGGAACCTTTACCTCTACCTTTAGGGATAGGTAGTTGCACAGAAATCTCCTTAAAACAGATTACCCGGACTCTTCCCAATTCAGGCCTGGGTGTAAAACTGAGACCAAGCCAGGGGTGAAATCCAGCAGGTTTCTAACAGGTTCTCTGGAGAACCGGTAGCGGAAATTTTGAGTAGTTCGGAGAACCGGCAAATACCACCTCTGGCTGGCCCCAGAGTGGGGTGGGAATGGGGATTTTGCAGTATCCTTCCCCTGGAGTGGGGTGGGAATGGGGATTTTGCAATATCCTTCCCCTGCCACGCCCACCAAACCACGCCCACCTAGCAGCTTCTGCCAACCTAGCAGTTCGAAAGCAGGTAAAAAATGCAAGTAGAAAAAATAGGGACCACCTTTGGTGGGAAGGTAACAGCGTTCCATGCGCCTTTGGCGTTTAGTCATGCCGGCCACATGACCACGGAGACATCTTTGGACAGCGCTGGCTCTTCGGCTTAGAAACGGAGATGAGCACCGCCCCCTAGAGTCAGGAACAACTAGTACATACGTGTGAGGGGAACCTTTACCTTTACCTAATGAAGTGAGGGACACCTCTATAGTTTAGGTATGCCTTAAACTAGTCACAATATTGGTTGAAAACAAAGATTGCCAAAGATTCTCAAATTCCCTGAAACAGTTTGTCTTGCTCCCATGTGCAAATTAGTTTCACACATTTGGCTCTCGGTCCACCCAAAAATTAGTTCTCCTTGCATTCTATTAATATTCGCAGACTGCTTCGTGAAATTGACCTATATTTATGTAACGCATTTCCTGTTATAACCGTTCAAAATTATGATAATCCCCAACCAAAGAGGCAGGGGGAGATGTTCTCCAATTGAATTTGTGGCTTGAGAATTATAGTACTTAAAAGCCCAAGTTAGGAAGCTGGTTTATTCTATTCCTCCCAATTTTAAGCAACTGTTTTCATTTAGAGCCACTTAAAGGTTCAAAAGCATCATTTAAATAAGATGAATGACATTGTGACCAGTGATGGGTTCCTCCCGGTTCGGTCCGGTTCGGCCGAGCCGGTAGCGGTGACGATATGACATCACCGAACCGGTTCTCCCCCCTCCCACCCCCCCATGTTATTCTTACCTTTTATTTGGTCCCACCCCCAATCTATTGCTGCCTCCTGAGTCCCAGCTGATGACTAGAGGGAAAAAAACTGTTTAAACTCTTGCCGTGGGGCTTCAAAGGACCGTCCTACAGCTGATCAGTGTTAAAAGCAAACAAATGAGTCGGGTCGTAAGTGCGAGGACTGGTCATAAGTGCGAGGACCTTCCAGAAATGACTCTGACCAGCTAGCCACGCCCACCTAGTCACATGACCTCCAAGCCACGCCCACAAAATAAGCCACACCCACAGAACCGGTAGTAAAAAAATTTAGAACCCACCCCTGATTGTGACATAGTATGTCGGGCAGGAGATGAATGTAATTTCAAAGAAAATATGGAAGCATCAATCTGGTTTACAGGGCTAAAAAGATCATTTGATGAGACACTTCTTGCTATTGTCATAAATGCTGTGATTATGTGGTTAGGTATTCACTAATATCCTTTATCAACTTGGCAAAACAATACATGAAGATACAGTAGGATCTTGATACTCAACTGCTTCGAAACTCATCAAATTTGGTACTCGACACATTTTGATGTGAAACTTTTGCCCCAGTACTCGTTTGTTTGGTACTCAACGCACAAGATAGAATTTATTGGTGTCGGCGGCCTTATGACTCACTATTATTTCTTATGGAAAAATTTTGTTTGGTACTCAACATTTTTGGACCTCATCGCATCTCCCGGAATTAATTAATGATGAATACCGAAGTACGGGTAGTCCTTGACTTATGACCAAAGTTGAGCGCAAAATTTCTTTTTTTTTCTTTTTTTTTTTTTTAAAATTTGATTTATATGCCACCCTTCTCCGGAGGCTCAGGGCGGCTTATAGTGCGTTAAGCAATAGCCTTCATACTTTTGTATATTTTATACAAAGTCAGTTTATTGCCCCCACAAACTGGGTCCTCAATTTACCTACCTTAGAAAGGATGGAAGGCTGAGTCAACCTTGAGCCTGGCGAGATTCGAACTTACTTTAATTGCAGACAGCTGGTGTTAAATTACAGTGCCTTTGGCTCTTCAGGCTCTGCAGACAATTTCTGTTGTTAAGGAACACATTTATTGAGTTTTGCCCCATTTTACGACCTTTTTTTTTTTTTACTACAGTTACTACAGTTAAGGGAATTACTGCAGCTGATAAAATTTAATAACACAGTTGTTAAATGAATTTAGCTTCCCCCATTGATTTTTGCTCATCCAAAGGTTGCAAAAGGGGATCACATGACCTTGGGACACAGCAATGGTCGTAAGTGTGAGCCAGTTGCCAAACATCTGAATTTTGATCACATGATCATGGGTATGCTACAAAGGTCGTAAGTGTGAAAAACAGTTGTAAGTCACATTTTTCAGTACCGTTGTAAGTGGGAATGGTCACTAAGTGAACTGTTTTAAGTGGAGGACTACCTGTATAAGCAAGAAGCTGGATGCAAGCCTACAGGATGTAAGCTTTGATTCTGTTGGAAATGTCAAGTGACCTCTGTCCTTGATGAAACTCGACATACTAGCTTCTTCTTCGGTAACATTGTATTGCTAACTAGGGCATACAAAATCTTTGCCAGACCAATTCTTGAATACAGCTCGTCTGCCTGGAACCCACACTGTATATCGGACATTAACACGATTGAGCGGGACACAGAGGTATTTCTCGAGAAGAATACTCCACTCCTCTACTCACAATAGAATTCCCTATGCCTCCAGGCTTGAAATTTTGGGCTTGGACAATCTGGAACTGCGCCGCCTGCGGTCTGATCTAAGCATAGTACACAAAATTGTCTGCTACAACGTCCTACCTGTCTACGACTTCTTCAGCTTCAACCACAATAATACACGGGCAAACAATCGATACAAACTCTAGGTAAACCACTTCAAACTTGATTGCAGAAAATACGACTTCAGCAACAGAGTGGTCAATGCCTGGAATGCACTACCTGACTCTGTGGTTTCTTCCCCGAACTCCCAAAACTTTAACCTTAGACTGTCTACTGTTGACCTCACCCCATTCCTAAGAGGTCTGTAAGGGGGGTGCATAAGAGCACCAGTGTGCCTACCGTCCCTGTCCTACTGTCCCCATTTATCTGTATTTACTTCCTTTGTTCATGTTTATATTCATACCTATACTTGTTATCTTGTACATGTTTGATAAACAAATTAAGAAAAAATACTAGCATAGTATTTCATATCTGTGCAAGCTTCTGACCAATGTTTCTCAGATAATTCAAAGGATGCTAGGCCACCTACCCAACCAAGCCATCCAGCAATTCTAAGCAGGTTTTAAGCTAACTCGTCTCATGATTTCTCTCCAGCTCCAAAATTGGACCACTCTTGTTTTCAAGCTGCCACTTACCCTTTTCTGCTCCTTGATGTAGTCCATCAGTTCTTCCCTCGTTTGCTTCACAGCTTCTTCTACAGCTCTCTCGCTTTTCCTTTGTTCTTCTAGGATTGCTGCTTTCACCATTTCCTAATATTTTAACACACACATATATACATTTAGAGAAAAAGAGTATTATTAGGATAACAATGTACTTATTTTGCTTCAACGTTTTCAGGACCGCACAGGCTACCTCAGTTTTTCTCCGCCCCACAAATACCTCCTTCAACACAGGGCTATTTCAGATTCTATATAAGACACTGAGCTTGTCGATTGAAACATCGGCAGTTCAGCAGTTCGAATCCCTAGTGCCGCATAACGGGGTGAGCTCCCGTTACTTGTCCCAGCTTCTGCCAACCTAGCAGTTCGAAAGCATGTAAAAAATGCAAGTAGAAAAATAGGGACCATCTTGGTGGGAAGGTAACAGCGTTCCATGTGCCTTTGGCGTTTAGTCATGGAGGCCACATGACCACGGAAATATCTTTGGACAGCGCTGGCTCTTCAGCTTTGAAACAGAGATGAGCACCGCCCCCTAGCTCCGGTGTCTCTTTGTCCCCTTGGAAAGAGCCCCTTCCTCCTGGGACTCCTGACTACATTCCACACAAAAACCCTCCTTCTTTAGCACCAGGGAAATCAGGAGATCCAGGCAGTTCAGACAGGTATAAAGATTCATTGTAAGCTTCCTATAAGAATCTGAACTACTAACAGACATTTGGTGGTAAATAAGGAATTCACAGTGGGCTGGACTTAGATGTCTTGTGGGTGTGAAGGGACTCGTGACAGATGATGCATTTCATCCCTCTCTCGGGCTTAGCCTGATCATCTCCTACACTCCTCCACCTTAATAGGATAGGATAGGATAGGATAGGATAGGATAGGATAGGATAGGATAGGATGGATAGGATAGGATAGGATAGGATAGGATAGGATAGGATAGGATAGGGGAAGGGAAGGGAAGGGAAGGGAAGGGAAGGGAAGGGAAGGGAAGGGAAGGGAAGAGAAGAGAAGAGAAGAGAAGAGAAGAGAAGAGAAGAGAAGAGAAGAGAAGAGTTGGAAGGGACCTTGGAGGTCTTCTAGTTCAACCCCCTGCTTAGGCAGGAACTCTATATCATTTCAGACAAATGGTTATCCAATCTCTTCTTAAAAACTTCCAGTGTTGGAGCATTTGCAACTTCTGCATTTGCAAATTTTTCCACTGATTAATTGTTCTCACTGTCAGGAAATTTCTCCTTAGTTCTAAGTTGCTTCTCTCCTTGATTAGTTTCCACCTGTTGCTTCTTTTCCTGCCCTCAGGGGCTTTGGAGAATAGCTTGACCCCCTCTTCTTTGTGGCAGCCCCTGAGATATTGGAGCACTGCTATCATGTCTCCCTTAGTCCTTCTTTTCATTAAACTAGACATACCCAGTTCCAGCAACCGTTCTTCATATGTTTTAGCCTCCAGTCCCCTCATCATCTTTGTTCTCTTTTATTAGCGTATTCTGCAAGCAGACACATTCACAGAGGAGACAAAAGATTTGGGGCATGCCAGAATGTCATTTGGGGGATGATGATGTATGAGTTATATCTCCATGGCTTTTAAGGGACACCCATGCATGGAACTGCTCCTACTGAGAACTTGAGACATGGCAGACGGGTGCTATGAGACCTACTTGCAACATTCAGGTCTTTGAGAGTCTTAAGGAAGCCACTGCCATTGTATAGAAGAGAGACTAATAGGAGAAAAAAAATCTATAGAAGCCTAGAGATCAGTTTGCAGAGCGTAAATGGAATTGTCTAAGAATCATTTATTCAAGGAGAGTACTGCCCTTACAATGGGACACAGTGGCTCAGTGGCTAAGACACTGAGCTTGTTGATCGAAAGGTCGGCAGTTCAGCGGTTCGAATCCCTAGTGGCGCATAACAGGGTGAGGTCTAGTTACTTGTCCCAGCTTCTGCCAATCTAGCAGTTCAAAAGCATGTAAAAAAGACAAGTAGAAAAATAGGGACCACCTTTGGTGGGAAGGTAACAGCGTTCCGTGCACCTTCGGCATTTAGTCATGCCTGCTACGTGACCATGGAGACGTCTTTGGACAACGCTGGCTCTTCGGCTTTGAAACGGAGATGAGCACCGCCCCCTAGAGTCGGGAACGGCTAGCACATGTGCGAGGGGAACCTTTACCTTTTATTTATTTATTTATTTTTATTTATTTATTTATTAAATTTCTATACCGCCCTTCTCCCGAAGGACTCAGGGCGGTGAACAGCCAGAAGATAAAAACACAGAAATACAAAAATTTAAAATGAATTAAAAACGAATTAAATAATTTGGCTGAATTTAAAATACCCCATAATTTAAACAGATTAAAATTTGTAGTTAAAATTAATATTTAAAAGGGGAGAAGATTTAGGTAAGGGGAGTAAAGATTTACCTTTACTCCCCTTACAGAACTCCCAAAGATGAGAGTTCATCTTTCTTTTTTTCAAAAGGCAAGTGTTTCTTGGTTGTTGTTTTTTCCCGTTGAACAGATTTTGTTTCTTACCCAAGACGGTTCTTCAGAATTCATTCTTCTGAAGCTTCTTGGATGAGAAGTGAAAGGGGGAAAAAAAAAAAAAAACCCAAGAAAGTCCCAGTTGCCTTTTGGAAAAAGCAAAGGACAGCTTTTGGAAAAGTTGCCCTTTGGGACAATGACGACCTGGATGGTTGAGAATCTCCATAGACATTTCCCCTTAAAGGAAAAAAACAAAACAAAGCACAGGTTAGACACCACAGCCCACAAGAGGGAACAAAGAAAATGCAGTCGTGGTTGAACCATCACGCAACCCCCTGCCAATGTTTTTAAAGCTCCTGGGTTTGTTCTAATTCCTGTAATCGCTGGGATTTCTTGACCATGATTACCACAAGAATAAAGGCTCTTTTAGTCCAGGATCGTGCGCATACATATTGATTGTTTCTTAAATGCAGTGCAAGCAGTTTGCAAGATAAATGGGAAAATTCACCAGTGAGGTCATAAGGCTGCAAAACAAAAGAAACGTGTGAAGAAACGGGATCAGCGGGAAAGCTGAAAATCTGGGCTCTAAGCTGCAAAGGAGGAGGTGACAGGAAGAAGGAGATCTCCATTTCTGCAAGCTAAACACTTTTCTGAAAGGCTGATGACAGAAGGAACAATTGGAGGGATACCAAGGAGAGCCGTTTCTAGGGAGGCCTTCTCGAAGCCCTGACTTCTGAAGAGCACCAGCAGACCTGGAGAGAAGACCTCTTCTGCTGAAGGAGTATAGACAGTTCTCAATTTATGACCGGTTGCTTAGTGACTGTTCAAAGTTACGATGTGTTGTGGCCCGTCAGCGGCCAGCGGAGCTAATGCCAGACTCAGACAGTGAGGAGGTTGGGGAGGAACACGGGCCAGTCCTGGAGTCTGGGGAAGGCTCTGATGAGGGCTCTGCCTCAGAGGCAGAGAGGGAGCCAGGGCCGTCTGACAGTTATCAGCTGCCTTTGGAGTCGGATATCAAGTGAGGCAGACAAACAGCTGGAGTCTGATCCTGTTCTGTCCCCGTCTCACACACGCACCCACACAGACAGGCAACAGTTAAAGAACTCAACCAACAACAGTTTATCCTGTATCAGAATTGGCAGCAACCCAGTGGCTGGCGGCCAGGTATTCTTTACTCACGAGGAGGGAGTTTCTCCCTTCGTCCGGGTACAAAGCCAATACACAATAATCAACAAAGTCCAGTAAATACAAAGAAGGTCGTCCGATATCCGTTTTTTGCTTGTCACAGAGCTGAACCGGCCACCACACCCTCTTTTATACCCTGTGGGGTGTGGTCCAATGACTCAGCCTAATCCCTGGCACGCCTCTTCCTCTGCTGCGCGCGCTTATCTCTGTGACGCTGCCGAGGATCCAGCCAAGACTCATCTTCCTCATCACTGTCCACCTGTGGCTGCGTGGACGTGCTTGGCCCCGGGCCTATCTCTTGCCCTTCGGCGGACACTGAAGGCATTGCCAGAGAGGAGGGTCCTGGAGAGGGAGCCTTGCCAACTCCTCTCCTTCACTCTCGGAGTTCTCTCCTGCCGATAACACAGGCTTAGGTAACGGAGCCACAACAGATCCCAGTGTGCGCATGTGCAGAGCCGCCAGGAGAAGGGAAGAGCTAAGGAACATGGGACAACTCTGGAGTAAAGGCACAGGTGGACGGTGAATGGCCCCTCCCAGAGGGAATAAAGAGGAGTGAAAGGGGAGGGGAGTTTGCAGGAGACAATTAGTTCAATTCATGAGGGTGAAGATTTGTTCCTGACTTCTTGCCAAGTAATTGCTGGCATTTGGAAGATATCGGCCTGGCAACTCTCCAAGCCTGATAAAGGTATGTAGTTGTGAATCTCATGAAAGACTGTTTGCCGTGACTTTGCTGGAGAGGAATTCCCTTTAACCTAAATAAAAGGGGTTTTATCGGGACGAGGAGTCTGCTTTGTGATTTGGGGAAGCCTAGGTCAGAACCTGATGGACCTCCACAGGGCAACTTACAACCAAGTTTTGAAGTTCCAGTGGACTATGCTGAGAATGAGTTAATTCTCAGCTGTTCTAATAAAGTCTGTTTGTTTTGGAACTGTTTGCGTCGAATACTACCTACTTGGGCCTGGGTCACAACAGAACCAATGTCTCACTTAACGACATAAATTTTGGGGTCATTTGTGGTCGTATGTTGAGGGCTACCAAAATTTCCTGGGGAAATTGCTCCACATCCTTCCATCAGTGTCCAGAAGAAGAAAAAGGATGTACAGGCAGTCCCCGACCTACAAGAGCTTGATTAGCGACCGTTCAAAATTACAAGGGCACTGAAAAAAACGGTGACTTATGACCGTTTTTCAAAGTTACAATTATTGCAACATTCCCACAGTCACATGATCAAAATTCGGAGGCTTGGCAACTGGCATGTATTTATGACAGTTGCAGTGTCCTGAGATTGTGTGATTAACTTTGGCAACCTTCTGACAAGCAAAGTCAATGGGCAAGCCGTTAATTCACTTAACAACCGTGTTATTAACCGACCCCCTGCGGTGATTCACTTAACAACAATGGCAAGAAAGATCGTAACATGGGATGAGATTCACTTAA